GGCACATTTTCCCAGTCATAATCTCAAAGATAAAGGTGGGATCCTCAACTGACCCAACACACTCCCACCTACCCTGGCCATATATACTGGTAAATTTCAACAACCACTCTATCACTTTAGACCAGGCAGGGAAGCCACAGTTAGAATAACAAAAGCAAACCACGCACCAGGAATAGCTCCCATTACACAGTCATAACAAATATAAGCTGCTTTTTTATTTTAGCCACTGGTTTTAAGGCATCTATTAAACAGTTTAAACTATACTGCAAGAAATGCATGTATTAGGGACTGTAATAATTTTAAGAATCTTTAATATTAGAGGGCAGATAACCTAGTCCAGTGATCAATGAACTCTTTACAATATACTAGCAAGACACTCGTCAGATATCTCAACTAGTCCCTGCTATTGTCTGTAAAATTCCTAAAGCAACTCTCATATCCAAAATTGATATAATATTCTATAGACGTACTACAGTAACAATGATAAACTTCTGAGCATTATCCAGGGGATAAAGGTTGAAGTAGACAAAATTTATCTATTTTTAGCTTGCATTTGTGGGGATAAAACATTCTCAAATCCTGCTAGATAAAAGATAAACTTGTGGGGCTGGGGATTTAGCTCAGCGGCAAAAGCGCCTGCCTGGCAAGCACAAGGTCGTGAGTTCGGTTCCCGGTACCGGAGAAAAACCAAAAAAAAAAAAAAAAGATAAACTTGTGTGAGTTTTCCACAAAGCAATTAAAAGTAGCACCTATAGGTGTCCCAGTAATGTTTATTCTCCTTGACTGAGAATTCCACTTCAACATATTTATCCTAAGAATTAACCACAGTCTTTCCTAAAGGACCCAAAGTCTTTCACAAAGGACCTTCTGCCCAGCATCTACTATAATAGAAAATACAAGGAAACATCTTAAAGGCGAACAATGAACTTAGATAACTGGTTAAATGCATCATGATATAGAAATGTCTTATCAATATTAGTAATAACAATAACATCTAATAAACTTACTACCGTCATGCACTGTTCTAATTGTTTTGCATATTTTATTTAACATATACAACCTTCACAAACATAAAGTAGGCATTACTGGGTCCCTTTAATAAACTAGGAAACTGAGGCACAGGGACAGGAAATACCTTGCCCAAGGCCACACAGCCAGTAAGTGGCAAAGCCTAGATTTGTAGCGAGGAGTCTGACTCTGCCATTCCCTACAATGTGCCCCTTTCAAAGAACTAAATGACAGTTTTATGCAGCCATTTAAAAGAAGGCGATCGTAACATGCATGCATGTTCAGACATACTAAGCGAAAAAAGCAAGATACAAAACACAATGAATCACAACTCTTATTTTAGAAAATTATTTACATGTGTACATTTTAAAAGACTAGAAAGAAAAAATAACAAAATACTCATAGTGGGTACCTCTCAGTGATGGGATTACAAGAGACTTAATTTTCTTCAACATGTTGCTCAGTATTTATAAACTTGTACCGCTGTTTTAAGGCTGGGGAAATATCTATTCTACCAAAAGCTTGTGCAAGTACAATATATCCCCTATTTCTTATGCAGCACTTTTTTCTTCTAGATAAAATGAAGCATTTTTATCCTTTAAATAAACATTTTACTTTTATTTATATGTTGTTATATGTAGTCGTTCCTCCCCAAAAGAATAAAAAATAGAATTTCGTATTTTTGTACTCAAAACAAAAAAGGACAAGATCAAAGCTGTTGTAAAAAGAAAAGACTTTTTTTGTTCAAATAAATGAAAACGGACCTATCAGAACACAGGAAATTGAAGTCGAAACCCTGATGTTCCAGACAGTCCGCTGATTCTGTTTGCATTAACAAGCCGTGTTTACGATACAGCCCAAATGTACAAAGTAGCACAGTATTCTCTAAACGCCAGCACTAACGCTAATAAAAATTACTACAGCATTACAGATCATGTGAGTCTCTGCTTTTTAAAGTAAAATACTTAAAAGCATCCAAATTTTATTCCCGCTTCATATCCGCAGCTGCTGTAAACTGCTCAAAGAATAACATCAATCCTTGTATAGCAGTGAAGCAAACAATCAAAAAACCCTCTGAAAAAAATCAATTCAAGTGTCAATTTTTAAATCCATAAAACATAAACCAAATTTAATCTTATATTTATATATTGATAAATGTAAAACTCCCTTATGCTCCTTTCTTGTCTATTCTGTAAGAAGAAGTTTTAAATTTTTCAAATACAGACAAAATTAAAATTTTACAGACTTGCCAAGGTATATCATCAGCACTGCCATCCCTGATTTCACACCCGTGCCAATTTCTCATTCCATTATCTTATCAGAACATTTAATATGGATAAAAAATAGAATTTAGTATTCTATTTAGTATTCTCTGAGATGTTGTGCTGCATATAAAGGTACAATTATCAGCTCTAGGGACATCTTTCATCATTGTACCAATTTATTAGTATTCATTAAAAAGGTACAATTAACATAAAAATGGGAAGTGACTGCCATGTTTTATAGCAAAAATAAAATAGATCTTTAAGGCCACCTGAATTTGGTCTTCTGTGTGGCCTAACCTGGGCACTGAAGCACAGCCTGTTTTACTTAGCATTATTATAGTTTAGTTCACAAAAAGTCTGAAATATTGTAAGAAGTCTGCCAAAAGGCTCCTCCTCAGCATGAAATTAAACCTTAAGGTGTGAAACACATTACACTGTAAGACTTGAGAAACTCTAATGGAAATTTACTTTTCAAAAATGTTAACATCAAAATTTACCCTTCACTCTGTCACTTGAGCTTTTTTTAAAAACTAGCATTTCATGGGAATGAAATCTACAAGAAAATGAATTATCCAAATTTTTCCTTTAAAACTGTATCACTTATAATTTGGTTTCTAAACTTGTGATTAACAATTATGCTTGCTGAATATAAATTTGAGTGTCTCTGTGTGTGTGTGTATATATATATATATGGTTTACATAAGAAAATGTATAATACATATGTATGTAATATAATAACATCTATTTCACATGTAGAAAGTATATGCTTAAGTTTTCTATAGAAGCAGCTATATTTGTAAGGAAGCAATCCTCTGTAAATCTTCTACAGTTAGCAAACATCATGGCTAACCTATCTGTGTACTCCAGAATTATTTTACTACTGTTAATTAAAATCACACAGAAAAACCATGCCACGAAAGTATTTCAGTGCTACATTTCCAATCAGAAGAGAGTTTTTATCTACAGAAAGGCAAGACAGGTCACACACATTTATTTCCAATAATCTACACACGGCTTTAAGATGAAGCTTTATAAAGAATGCTTGCTTAGCTAATTTTTAAGCAGACTAAGAATTTTTATTGAGGAAAATTACCTATTTTATTTTTTCCCTGATCTGATAAAAGTCTGAAGATCTGAAATGGATCAAAGTGAAGTTTTTCACTTCAGCCAACCTACTACCATAAGGCCATTGGACAAACTAAGAAACTGTAACTTCACATTCACAGATTCACAAACCCTTGTCCATGCAAGTTAACTGGTAGAAAGTATTACTGGTATTACACAACTGATTATATTTACAACTAAAAAGTATTCCACTTTCAATTAAAACAAGTAGCTATGCAAAACAATGACCTTATTCCCTTGCCAGCATTCTCCTTAGAGACTTTCTTCCTCTACAAATGACAAACTCAAAAACAAAAACATGTTAAATTTAAAGTGTTTTACTGTCTTGGCACTGAAATATATAAAGTCACCATATAATCTAATGTTGTAAATATCTTAGATGACCATTTTCAAGTTTCTGTAAGACCTGCCAATGATTTTTTATTAATTTTACCTTTATTAATGCCTCCCTGTAATTTGTTTTTACAAAATAGAAGGGTCAATGAATAGCACACACAATTTTATTAAGCCAAATTTTGGCAACTTACACTACAACAGCCTTGCAATTAAAGCTTCAACTGGATTTTCATCTTCATAAGTAAAAACAGTTAAAAACAGGACAAATACTGATAAAAAAAAAAACAGTTAAAAACAGGACAAATACTGATAAAATTGTATGAGTAAATGCTTTCAAATGGTTATTTCTGAGTAACAAGATTTTCTTCATTATATTTACTTAAACCACTATTAATGTGCATTCTGAACACAAGAATGGTGGACCATATACAGAAATACAAAACAGTATGAAATCCAGTCTTTAAATACTAATCCATAAAAGCAGGTATTTGAGTGGGTATGTAGTATTACTGGGGCTGTATACTATGCTACATTCTCTAAGAATTAACTGTTTAGGAATTTATTTATATATTTGTAGATACAGTCACTAGAAAAAGTAAACTTTACAAAGTTATTATTTGATACTAGCACAGAACCATTACCCTCAGAATATTGCATTTAGAATTATAATAAATCCTACTACTACTAGATATATATAAAATATAGAATACCTAAGAGATTCTACAGTAAGAAACCATTAGAAACATTTTGCCTTTCCTATATATATAGTACAAAGAATTTTTTAAAAATAAAACTTTAGGGGCTGGGGATTTAGCTCAGCGGCAAAGCGCCTGCCTGGCAGGCGCAAGGTCATGAGTTCAGTTCCCGGTACTGGAGAAAAACCAAACAATAAAAATAAATAAAAAATAAAAAATAAAAAAAATAAAAGTTTAGTCAATGCAATTTTTAAAAAATCATCATTTTCCCACATGGTACAAATGCCTAGGAATAACAAACTTCCCCAAATCATTTTAAGACAACACCAAAATGTATATTTATTAACATATTAACCACCTATTAATAATGGACATGCTCAAAGAGGTACAGACACACAAAAAGAAAAAATAAGTCAAATTTTCCTTATACACAGGACAAATCCTATAGAAATACTGCTCCTACACATAGGTCCAAAATGAAGCTATCTCAAGAAAGAATTGCAATCACTGTTACCCATTATCTGCCACATTGAAAGTTTTGTACCACCAAGATTACATAAGGCCTGCATACCAAGTTCATCGTGCAAACTGCTACCGCCTACAGCAGATGCATTGTCATGTGACGCTTCTAAGTGGACACTCCCATTTCTCACCAGCAAGGAGGCACTAGCACTGAGCACTGCAGCCTGAGAAGGGGGACGGGACTGGACTTTGACCTGGGCTGTGGACTGCTGGCCTTGCTGACCATCTTGAAGGCTACGAAAAAACATGGATTGGGGAGACATTACAGGGAAGAAAAGAGAAAACAACAGCTAGAATGAAATCAATATAGAAAACTGATTTCACAAAGATACTTCTTCAACATAACCTAAGAGAGAGCCAAGAAACCTGGCAAAATATACAAATTACACTGACAGCCTAAATGTTCTGGTCCTTAGTAAATTTGATCCATAATGATGATCCCCGTAAACATTTAATATATATGTAATTGGTTAATCTGCAACTTTCTTCCATCTCAAAGCCAACTACATTCTAGTGTTAAGGAAACAGAAAACAGCAAAGAACTGTGAGGACATTCAATGCATGTGTTGGGGCTGGCCCCCAACAGTGAACCCTATTTTGTATTCTCAGTCTTGTAGTAATTGTGGAATTTTCTGTCAGATATTCTGGGATCTCAAATTCACAATAAAACAAAGTTCTATGGCCGGGCGTGGTGGCGCATGCCTGTAATCCCAGCACTCAGGAGGCTGAGGCAGGAGGACTGTTGTGAGTTCAAGACCTGCCTGGGCTACGAAGTGAGCTCAAGGCCAGCCTGAACTACGTAGTAAGACCCTGTCTCAAAACAAAAACAAAAACAAAAACAAACAATAAAACAAAGTTCTATGTATTTGAAAATCAAAGAATCTTTATCAACTGCAACCAAGATGACAATTTTAAATTTTTTAAAAAAATCACTGAGACCCAGAAAAACTTACTTAACCAAATGAAATAAAAATGACCATTAGGACAGTGACAGAAGCAGACTGCTACAAAGTATCGTGTGTGTGTGTAAAAGGCCTACATATCAGTGAAATAACGGCATGCATTAGTGTTAATTATGTTCCCTTAATAAGTTTTGTTATTTTCTCTGCCAATCCACATTACAGTCTCATTAACAAGGATCCATCATTTTAGAAAAGCTTAATAATTTGGAAATCTCTAATTTCTCCAAGGGTATTTCAGTCTTTTCTAAATTTATAAAATCTTTATGATATTAAGCATATTGCTATAAATTATTTATTAAAATTATTTATAAGGTTATTTGATTTTCCTACATTAATTCATCTTATAAATTTAATATAAATTTTAATACAATATGTAGTCAAATTTAAACTGATGAAATTCATGAAAACATTATACATTATTCTCCTCATGATATTCAATGGAACACTGCCTTCTGCCAATTTAAGATTACTTTAAACAATCCCAGCGTCTATTACTAAAACAGACTTCTAGAACAAAACTATACTATACTTTATCATTTTTAACGAGTATCAACTTGTCTGTAATCCTCTGAATTCAATGTAATGGTTTCTCTGGTCCCTGTAAAACAAGCGTATCTGCTGCAGCTTGATCATGAACGAAAAGGCTAAGTAGAACATGCTGTACACAGTTATTGCTTAGCCTTTTGGCCATGGCAACGGAACACTCTGAACTACACTGTGATACAATAACCAGGGAACGTTTCATTACAAGTCTTGTGTGACCATTCCCAGTGTTCAGTAACCATGTAACTGTCAGCTGCCACAGCGAGCACCCTGTCTCAGCGGGCTGTCAGCAGTAATCAGTATCACCATACTGACAATGCAGATTACAGAATATTGGTACGCTTGTAAAATGTTCTATAAAATACCAACAACACTCATTTTTTCAGGCTTCTTTTAGAGCTATAAAAACTACACATTCTAAGCAGAGTATAAGAATGCACACAACAAGCCAGGCATGGCGGTGCACATGCCTGTAATCCCTGCACTTGGGACGCTGAGGCAGGAGGATCACCGTGAGTTCAAGGCCTGCCTGGGTTACACAGGCAAGTTAGTAACTTCTTTGGACTAGACCTTTGTACAATATATATGTCAAGAGATGATGTTGAGAACAACGTTTTTATCTTCCTACAAATATAACTGATGTGTTACTCTTCTTCAGGAGCTATTTAAACTTATCCACAACCTTACCAAAATAAACCAATTTTGTGAGAGAAAATAGAAAAAAAAAAATCAAACATGATGTCCTTTCACATTCAGAAGATAGTGGAATTTTATAGAATATGTATTCAGCAAAATTTTCCACCTATTTTTTTCACTTAAAGTTATAAATAAAGGTGCAGTTAGATTGACTTGAGTGTGAGCATATTTAAGCATGTACTATCTTCAACCCAGAGATGGAGTGTACATCCAAAGATACAAAATGTTTTCAAAATACTAGTCTGTACATAAAAATCAACTCCACAATAAAGAAAGGAGCCAAAATCTGTGATTATAAATGTCAAACTTTTTTTTTAACTCCAAAAGCTAGTAATGAGATGTTTATATCCCCTTTTCAAACTCTTCAACAAAAATAAGCCTGTCATTTTTGCACAAATTGTCAGGAAACATTTCTCTGGAAGGCTGCACTTCACTTCAAACTAATAACTGGCATGAACATATCTTTTTACAGCTCCAATTACACTGCAAACCTATCACTTTGAGAAAAGGTATTAACAATAACACAGTCAAAGGAAAGGTAGAGATTTGGGCCTACACTTATGAGGTACAAGTGGTACCACTGACAATGCAATCATACTAATTAACGTTTCTAATTTCAATCACAGAACAGTTGATCTGCCTTTCCTTCCTCAGAACCACTGAGGTGGTAGCTGAACATTCTGCCTTATACTGCTGTCAGTTACCTTTGTATGTGTCTCCCCAACTAAAATATATTCTTAAGTGTTTTGATCCCAGAGAAAGAAGTGTCATGAACACAGTACACAAGCAGCAAATACGCGGTGGCTTTACGTCTGACCACAAAATGATCCCTACGAGTTTCTAATCATGCATTCTCACATACAACTATGACCTTATTACGTTATCTTTCAATTTTTCTATTCTTAAAAACACATCAAAGAAGTACGTTAACTCTTTTTTTCCCTGCCCCTAAATCACTGATTTCTTTCCACTCCAGGATATTAACTAGAATTCAAAAACACAGAAAATTTAGGTTAATACAAAACTGTTTATATTTTTACTATAATTTTAAAATATTTGTTTGTAGATCTTTAAGTAAAGGCCTTTTACAAAACCTACCTACATGGGCAACTTAATTTAAAAACATTTAAAATATAATTCTAGGTGGTGTGGTGATGCATGCCTGTAACCCCAGCACCTAAAGGCTAAGCAGGACGATTGGGTGTTGAAGCTAGCTGGATTTCATAGTCAGTGTGAGGGTGGCTTGGACTATACAGTGAGGCCCATCTCAAAGGAAAAAAAAATCAGAGTTTATTCTAATAAGCATTATAAAAAATATGCAAATTCTTTTTAAGTAAACTGATGATTCACTCCTAACCCTTACAAGCACATATTCTAACGAGCTGCCTGTGGGGTGGTCATTATTTAAATAATTCACTAAGTTTAAAATGCAGCATTTCCCCTTCAATCAAGGTTTCATTTTCTGTGATTCCAGTTACCCACAGTCAATAGCAGTCTGAAAATATGAAACTGAAAATTCCAGAAATAAAAAATTAGTAAGTTTTAAATACCTCTAATTATGATACATTATAAATGTTCTATTTTATTAGCAGTTATTAATGTTAATGTTTTACTGTGCTAAATTTATAAGTTAAACTTTATCAAAAGCATGTATATACCATGTAGGAAGAAATATATATAGGGCTCAGTACTATCTGAGCCTTCAGGCATCTACTGGGAGCCTTGGAACATACAAGGAGGGGCGACCGTAGATTTTACTGGCATTTACTAGTACTGTACAGTAATTGTAATGAAAGTATGGTAACATCTACTCTTTTAAAATGAATGTTCTATCCTATACTTAAAGATGGAGTTATCTGCTAGCTCACGCTGAAAAACAATATCCTTTCTCTGAATATTTTTACAATTACAACTACAATTTCAGTAAGTTAACATTGCTCCTACTTCCTTACAGCTAAATTTTGGTCAGCTTATGTAGACTATATACAGCTTTTGTACTGGAAATGAGTACTTTCCAAAAATTCTAACGTGAACCTTTTAGAAGTCAGTTCTATACCATATCCTAGATAGGACATACGTAAAACCCTAGAAAAAGATAGAAAAATACTATGTGATTGGCTGGCAATAAAATAGGAACTTTAATATTCCACCAGGCAGAGAAAGAAACTAACCTGTCTACAGTTGTTTGGTCAGTGAAACTGAGCAGGCGCATTTGTGGCAAAGAATAAAAGGATTTTTAAATATTATAAACAGAAGGTTAAAAAATGTTTAAGAAATATAAACATGGAACAAGCAGGAAGGCAAAGAAGTTGTCTACGGCAAGTATTAATCATGGGGCAAAATGAAGTTAGAAACAAAATAGAAAAATCAAAAGAAAATGCTCAGTTGTTTCTGCATTTGGGACTATGCGCCAAATCCATTAGCAGAAAGGAAAGTTCATTTAGGAGGAAAGGAAAGGAGCTAGAAAGGAAACGGAAGGGGAAGGCTCGCAAAAAGCAAAGATTTGTAGAGGAAATGTTTCTTTTAAATTGTCTTCCCATTTTTATATTATAAATATTGGCTTAATCCATATTACTTTTTATATAATCATACATTACTGAATTAGGAACTTGACCTATAAAAGATGAAGTTCCCAGCTATAAGACAAACACAAGAAAATAATTAAGTCTTAAATCTCAAGAGAATATAAAATGAAATGTTTGAGGAAATAGAATTTTGCTACTCTCAAGAACAAGGTTTTAAAAAAAGAAGGGAAGAATCTCTCTTCTAACCTACCATGCACTCACATTATTTCATCAAATAGTCTTCCTTCTTAAACTGAAATTAAAATGTGACAGAAAAATAATTTGTATGTTGCTTTTGGGCACAGAGGATAATCAAAGTATATAGTGTAATTAATATATGCACTGCTTAAGCAGGCACATGTATTGATGTTCATATTTTGTCTTTTTAAAACAAAGCAATGCCTTCCAAATAGGTTTTTACATTTCTTATTCAAGATAGACTCATCAGATTTGATGTAATCAAAAATAAAACATTTATTAAAAACTTAATGGAAAATGATCCCCAACATTATAAATGGATGTTTTCTTACTTGGGAATATTAGAAAAAATAAAAATGGTTTTGTTCAATACACTATAAGGGATTGAGAAATTAACACAGATATACACAGAAAACAGCAATAGCCAAATGACCATACTTTGCATAAATTATTTTAGTTCTGTGTCATTTACTAGATCCTGGTGATTGTGAAATAAAAGACACCAAGTTTTAAGCAATAGAAAATAAAATGCGTCATATTTTAGTGACATGAAATAATCACATTGACTTATCAAGCTGAGGTCAGTTATGTGTTATTTCTCAACAACCTCACTATGTGGTCCCATAATTGCTCATACAAAACATTTTCAAAATGTTGGGAAGACATCTTAATATTATTAATTTGGAATAAAAAAAGAAAGCTAACTTAAGGCTGCTATTTCCATTTCTATAATTACCCTACTTAAAACTGACTCCTCAACTTAAAATTGGCAAGACCAACCTGATTATTTTACTTAAACAGTGCAACATAAAGCATGCAGATTGCAACAGGCTTATGGCACATGCAATGAAAGCCTGAAAGAACTAAAATATATAGAAAAGAAAAAAGAAAAAGCTCTTCTAATGCTTTCTTGAGTCTGACAAAACAGGTTAGAAAGCTTACTGCATGCACGCTAAACTCGGTGGAATTTGAAAATACTGTACCTGAGGGGTGGTCCGACGAGCAAGGTAGGAGGGGTAGGGTTACTCCCTGCATTGTGCCGGCGCCGCACTGCCTGGCGCCTAAATGTACTGCGTTCGCGGCGAAACGACACTGTCTCCTCGCTGGCCTGTGCTGCAGCTGCTGCATTAAGACAGACTTAGGTCAAATGGGAGCCTAGGTCAGAGATGTAAACAGCAGCTGAGCTTGTCTTTCCCTTGACGTCCCACCCACATGGTTACAGAGAACATGTCTACTTCACTCCGAACTGTTTTCATATATATGTTGTAAATCTATCATATCAGATAATAGAGTAGGGGTCACTTAAAGTGAATTTATTTTTGAAAAATTGTGTCTTTGACCTATTATCTGACCTCATCATCTTCCCTTCAACTTTCTATCTTAAGATCTCTACTGCTTTCAATCTTTTCCTGAAATCCTAAATCTCTCCTGAATCCCTAAATCTTTTGACTTATTTTTGTCCCATGTTCCTCTATTCTTCCTTTAATTAAATCATCCTTAAAAGTATCTGTTAGTTTCTACTAATAGGAATGGGGGCATTCGCTTTTCACTCTTATGAGAACAGAAAAAAGCAACAAAGATAGTACAGGTACTCCTTGACTTATGATGGAGGTACACCAAATAAACCCGTTATAAAGTGAAAATATCACAGGTCAAAAATGCTTTCAACACACCTAACCTGCCAAACATCATAATCCAGCGGCAGGTTACAGTGCAGAGTGTCTGTTATCTGCCCTTGCAATGACGTGGCTGACTGGAAGATGCAGCTACCTGCCACTGCCAACACCATCATGGAGTACCAGATCACATACTGCTAACCCAGGAAAAGATCCAAGTTCAAACCTCAAAGTTCAATCTCTACTGAATGTGTACCACTACTCTAAAACTGGAAAGCTGTAAGCTGAACTACCATGAAGGAGGGAGCCGGTACTTCCTGGCGGATGCCACGGAGTGAGGCAGTGAGTTTATGTCGCAGTACTCTGGGCAGTCGTTTTGGCAGCACTAAATGGAACCCTGACTTTGGGGCCATGCAACTAGTTTATTAAAAATTCAAGAGAGCATCACTGTCTTAACTGTGTAATGCAATATATTATACATCCACTTCTGTTCAAATACTACTATTTCCCCAAATCAGGAAGCAAGTAACAGCAAAATCTCAGGTACAGCATAGAAATTCATAGCCTAATCTAGAAGCCGTAACGTACAAACTAAAAACCAAACATATAACAATGAGGAAATCACAACAACGGCTTGGCAGAATTACATAAATTTTACAAAATCACACTAATTGATCGATCTGGGTTTCTAAAACAAATTGTAAAATGATTTTCATCCATTTGAATATAAACTAACTATTGTTTCCAAGTGATCTAAATATTTCGAGAATCATTCTGATTTTGAGAAAGGCTATTTTGATGCTAAATATAATTAAAACAAAAGAAGCTAACCTAAAAGCATTCTCCCAACACAGAAATACCTTTAAACATAAAAAAGCTGTTCTTCGTAAGATAAAAGCTTGTGTACACAGAAATTACATATGCTCAATGAAGAAATGATACTGGTTAAAGCTGGTCATTTAGAACCGTGCAGTATAATACTTAGCTATCACAGTACTATACAAACCCCCTAGCTACATGTGGCCATTTAAATGTGAATAACTAAAATTAAAAACCCCACTCCTTGCATTTGTGAGCCTCGCTTCAAGCCCTCTACAGTGACAGCAGCTAGTGGACGCCGGTTGGCACAGGAGCATCCCCATCACCACGGAAAGCTGTATTTCAGGGCTGACCTGGAAAGTCAAGGCTGCTGTTTTGTTATCACAATCTACAAAGCACTTGTGCACTTTGCCCATTCTTCACAATTACGACCACAATGAAATGAAAATATAACCCGCACTGTCAAAAAGGGAAAAAATAGGTTCTACGAAAACAAGGCAGTTGAGGGAAGAAACGAAAAATTAGGTGAAGCACTAGTATACCTACTGATGGACTTTAGACACCAGGAAAGTCAGGCCATGGGATCTGAATCACTATTTACAAAGTCAATTCAAGAGTAATGTTGTAAGCCAACCATGGTGGCACATGTCTGCAATCCCAGCACTTGGGAAAATTTATCCAGACATAAATTATAAAAGATAAAATGTACTAAAATTATTCAAAAGAATTCAGAAAAAGCAGCATGTGCTCAATGAATCCTGACAACAGGAAAAAGGAAAGGAGCAGACAGCTTTCTTTACCAGCTTCCTTCTCCTGAAGACTTAAAAGTGTTACTCTTTTTTTTTTTTGGTACCAGGAATCAAACTCAGGACCTTGTGGCTTGCCAGGCAGGTGCTGTGCCACTGAGCTATGTCCCCAGCCCATTGGTGTTAAGCTTAAGTAAAAACTAATTTCTCAGTAAAGGGACTAAAAACAAAGCATTCCAATGTTTTTTGGTTAAGAAGTTCTTTGCTTTACTTAGAAAATGAGATTTTTAGTTATTAGTACACTATATTTTAATCCATAAAACAGTCATAAATTACATTACTTAACTTCCTCAATAGTTTTGAAAACACATCAAGGGAAAAAGTATAGATCAATGTATTGAAGTGGAGTTATGATTACTGCCTAAATTATCTTTTGTAACATGCCTATTGTTACAAGAATTTTCAAAATATTCACTATAGCACCTGTCTTAACAATAACTAGGGCTGGGCATAGTGGCACACATCTATAACCCTAGTACTCGGGAGGCTGAGGCAGAAGGGTAGTGATGAGTTCAAGCCAGCTGGGGCTACACAGTGAAACTCTGTGCCAAAAATTTAAAAACATTTTAAAAATAAACTAGGATCACACACTCCACTGAAAATGCCATGCTGTAACTTCTGATTGCACTAAACAAAACTAAAATCCATGTCCTCTTGGAAATGTGCTACTTGTACAGAACATGTATAGCTGAGGCAAGATCTGGGGGGATCCAGTTCTATTGGAGCCAAAAGTGGAAAAAGGTCTCTTTAAAGCTTAAAACACAGTCATATAAATTGTAACATACTTGAAAATTCACTTCTGCCAGGCAACTTAAACTCTGGTGGAATCATTTAACTTCACAGGAGAAAGAAAATATTTCTTTAAAGCATCTTTGAACTAAGGCATCAGAAAGGAGGGAGGAAATGCTTAAAAACTGGTTCTGAAGTTGCTATTTCAGCACTGCATATAATCCAGTATCCTCTGGCAAAGAAAAATGAAATGAATTAGTTCAACAGCAAGAATATAAAATACAAATAGTGAAAACCCAACCACGTAGAGACAATGACAATTCACACGTGTATTAAAGGACGAAAAAAATTCACAAACATTCAAGTGATTCAAAATCTATGAATAAGCACTGGGGATACAGCTTAGTGGCATAAAATGCCTGCCCCTGGCAAGCACAAGGTCCTGAGATCAACTCCCAGTACTAAATCTATGAATAATAAAACATCAAATATTTCTAAGTACTATCATTGAACTATTATGCAAAAAAAAACTTATGCAGATTTTTATTGCAAAATTTTTTTAAACTACAAACCTTGATTTTCTAAATATTTACCTGCATTAAAATATAGTCTTCAAATACTAAATTGATATTCATCATAAGTGTAAGACATACAATCACTCAAGGAAATCTAAGCCAAAAGGCAATTCATGGACAAGGTACAGATACCTTAAAACATTTCAGCAGCTCTAGTCAGGTCTATTCTTGAAGATAACAAAGAAAGTAACATACACAAAACACACTTCCCATCTCAGGAGTTCCTTCCCATTTATCTCAATGAGGTAAGGAAATTCTACACATTCTCTGCCAAATTATTTTACTGCGACTCTTTGTTTATAAGGGGTAATGGCAACAGTGAAAAGTATTAAAAGCTAAAGATACATAGAAGAGTAAAATTTGATGAGGAAGCGAGCGTTGTCTAAATTCTATCTCAAAAATTAGAAAGTTCCAAGTATAAATATATGAGATAAAGATGGTTCCTAGAAAACTATTTCCATCATAAACCTGGCTGATTACTGAAAGGACTGATAGGTTAGAAGTTACTTTCTAGTAGTTATGAAAGGCTGGCCTCTTGCAGTAGTTCAATTCCTATCAAATAAGTTAAAAATCTAGACATAAGATACTACTTAAGAAAAGACTTCTTTTCAGCACTAAGTGTTTATTGTGGAAAAAATACATCTGGGAAAATTGAGAAAAATGTGTGTTTGGTACCTCGAAGAGATCAGAAAAATACTAACAGAAAAAGGAAATTAAATTTTTAATCAAGACGACAGAAGTATAAAACAAGTATAATACATCTCAAAAATAAGACATGTGCAAACATCCTTAAATATTCTTCAAGTTAGAAACTATTTTACTTAATGAAATTACCACATAAAGAACTAAATATTCAATTGATTTTGCAAAAAAAATTCTGAAATGTTTTAGTCTAGACCTGAAACCCATTTTATCTAAACAGTCTTTTCCTGTTTATTTTCAATGTCAGCCAAGAAGAATGCTAACAGCAACATGCAAATAATGTCTTCTAATAAAGAAGTAAAAGCTTCTAAAAGTAACATTTTATGGGAGGCAAAGAACAATTGTAATCTACTGCACAACTTCTAAGCATCATTCCGAGTTAAAACAATTCCTATCTGTGCAAATATTTTGAAAATATTTTTTGACAAATCAACAAACTATTAAACAACAACAAAATTATCAGCTCTGCTTTAAGTTAAAGAGAATTTGCATATCCTTATTGATATTTTCCACAAACCCAGCAGCCAAGAAATATACTTGGTAGATGAAAAGCTTTCAAGAAACTAAGTGATACTGTGAAGACTAATTCATACAAAATAATTTTGAAGATACACAGTTTACGAATGAATTACTTTCACAGCTAGTTCCTAATCATTTAAATCCTTTGTGAATGGAATTTAAATTCAACCTTTTCTCAGAAATATAGTTTTGCATGTATTTTTCAGGTAATTCACCTAATACAGGGATACTAGTGAAGTACATATATCATAATGTATGGGTACATATATACACACACACACACATATACGGTAATAATTTGAAAAGAGAAACTTCTGAAACGATGAAAAGCATCAGGGTTTTAGTTTACATAATGAATCTGTGATCTACAAAGCACTTTCACTCTTGCAAGCCTGCCAAGAGCCTGCCGGCTAACTGGGAGACAGGCCTAGGCAGTTAAGATTTGCGTTTTTGCCACTGAGGACGAGGAACAGATTTCACTGCTTGCCAGAGTACTCAGTCAGCAATTAAAGGTATATTAAGATGTAATTGATTCTTTATTCCAAATTTCACTGCTGCTACAAAGAAAAACACACTGTTTCTATCTGACAAAAATCAGGCATGGAGAGGTTTTAGAAATTCAATATATAAACATTTATTTACTTCACTAACAAAAAAAATCTCTTTTCTTGATATTTCTGTAAGGGAAGAAAGATTATTTTACCAAACATGGTTCACTGTATTTAGTAAGCACTCTTTGAGTTTTTTTAAATGTCTAAGCATTCTTCACAAGACAGCCTAAACATATTCTTACTAAATCAGGTCGGCCACCTACACGTCTTACAGCATTGTATGTTCTATAATATACTATTGTTATGATATTATGGTAGCTTTGAACACTATTAAAATTAAAAAGATGATTTGTTCCTGCATTTAAGGAGCATCCTCCATTGTATGTCTTGCTTTGCTCTATAGTTAATACAGCTCCTCCTGTAGGATTAGCTGTACACTTCTGCTGTTATTTATGGTCATGAAAACAAACATTTGTTATATGGCTGAATATCAAACGACAAGTTATATGACATATCAACCCATGTTACTGGATTAGATGCTAAAATGTTTTTTGTTAGGATTATATAAGAAATTAGGAATTCAGATACTAGTTTTATTTTAATACTGTCAAATTCACACAATGACATCATTAGAATATCTCTAATTTGCTTGTATGCATTTATTTTCTTCTAATTTCATATCATTGCATTAAAAGGGTCAAACAGGGCAGATATGTCTGTGTAGCACAGCAGCCTGTTTGATAATAGTAACAGAAGCACTATTACATACTTGCTATGTGTTAGGTACTGTTCTAACCATTTTATGTGTATCAACTCTTCTAATACATATGAAATTCATAACCACCTTATAAAACAGATACTACTATCAGCTCTTTTTAAGGTGATAGCTGCAACTTAAAGCAAGTAAGTAGCTTTCCAAGAGCCACAACAGTGGATCCATGTACTAAAAAAGGTGTAACATTCCATGTCATTTAACTAGATTGTCTCCTGTTATAGAATATTTTAATTGTATTACTGCAAAGTACATTTCCTGCTCTGTGTGGTGGCGCATGCCTGTAATGCCAGCACTTGGGAGGCTGAGGCAGAGAATCACTGTGAGTTCAAGGCCAGCCTGCACTACATAGTGAAACCCTGTCTCAAAAACAAAAAAACCAATCAAACAAACAAACAAAAAGTATAGCCTTAATTTCATCCCTTCACACAACAAACAGCATCCACCTCAAATATAAATTTTTGGAAAATTCACCAGTACCTCCAAATTCCCTGAAATCTACTTACGGTTTTACATCTGGGCATATGTTTTGCTGACATGTTTCTACAGCACAGTATGTAAGGCAGACCACACGGCCCAAAACATTTCTCCTAAATCAGAGTGTAACAAATAATGCTTCTATAAATAAATACCTTTCACATCTGAGATTCTATGGAATTTTTAAATAATGAGCATAAAAACAAATCCCCTCCCACTACTTCCGAAAGCCCAAATAAACCACCCCCCCAAAACCACTGTATTTTGTTGCAATGAAAAGCAGTTAAACATAAATCCCCAACATATTTAAGCTTTTTTTAACCCTTATTTTTATTCTAAACACAATGAAGCTCAAATAAAAATAGCCCTTAAAATGCCTTTCCATGGCAAAAAATGATTTTCAACAGCCTATTACCTTTCTCCCACCAAAGTAGTTTAAAAAATTTTTTAACTCATTATTTGTTTCTTATGAACATGCAATGAATTTTTTTAAGTACAAACAATGGACAGCAAAAGGTGTAATTTGGAAGAATGAGGGTTTATAAGGTCCAAAAACTGTACTAAAAGCCAGATAACATCTTCCATGTAATTCTTCCTTAAAAATGGAACATCCCACATTCCCTGTGGAAAAGGAAATAGCAATTTAAATGTAGAAATAGATTTACTATAGATCTTGAACATATTTTGTTAGTATTTACACTTCAACAATATTTACAACAGCAATATTTTTCTATCAGCGTATGCATACTCTTAAAAATTATTTTGATAACTTTAACAATTAAGCCATACTATAAATCTACTGGTTTCTTGTTCTTTTTTTTTTTTTGTCTTTTTGAGACAGGGTCTCCCTACGCAGTTCAGGCTTGGCTTGAGCTCACTTTGTAGCCCAGGCTGGTCTTGAACTTGCAACGATCCTCCTGCCTCAGCCTTCCGAGTGCCTGGATTACAGGAGTGCGACACCACGCCCAGCTTGGTTTCTTGTTCTTCAGATAAATTTATGTGAGAAATCATTAAAACACAACAGTATCCAGTCAAAAACTCCAAGGAATTTAATTGCTATATTGATACCAAATAATTACAATTACTTCAGATATAATTTGTTCTCAATATTTAGACCTGATGGACTACTTTCTTCCTTAGGCACTGAAAACTGTTTCTTTACATTCCTATTAATAATTAAAACTTTTGGGGGCTGGGGATTTAGCTCAGTGGCAAAAGTGCCTGCCTGGCAAGCGCAAGGTCGTGAGTTCGGTTCCCGGTACCGGAGAAAAACCAAAAAAAAGAAAAATTAAAACTTTTGTTGGAAACTTCACTAAAAAAAGGGAAAAAAAACTAGAATGCTTACTACCATCTGAACTTGTAAAATATTATGGATGAAATTTAAACACTTGAGGACCAAAAGCATAGCTACATATGATTAGAAATGTTTGTATGAACAAAAAATCCAGCTTAACTTTTAATGAAAGATTAAACAGCTACTACACCGAGATTCTACACATTAAAACTAAAGATACAAATCCAAATAAAGTGAAGGGGAGTAGAAACTAAAAAAGCTAATGTGCTAGGAACAGAAGATGTAAATCTGATTCCAGTCAAGATGTAAATTTCATAATAATCAGAAAAAACTATTTTTATTAGGAGAAAATAGTAAGAAACAACAACTCTGACATAAAAAGTACTGTCCAAGACCAAACACAGGGCTGGGGATTTAGCTCAGCGGCAAAAGCGCCTGCCTGGCAAGCGCAAGGTCGTGAGTTCGGTTCCTGGTACCAGAGAAAAAAAAAAAAAAGAAGACCAAACACAACATCAAACTGCCCACCCAGCTTTGCACAATTCTCCATAAACCTGAAATAAATAAGCCGTTACTTTAACCAAACTACCATCACTGTCATAAGTGGCATCATGCACCCGTTAACAGACACAAAATGCTAATGTAAGCTACAAACCTCCGCTCAATAAACTTTAAAGAAAAGCTTGAAGTTACAGAAAAAAACAAAATTTTCATGTCTGAAACTTGAATTAAGGAAGAAATGAAACCAGAGACAGACAAAAATGAATCACAGTTTCCAAAGTACGTAATCAGGGCTAAAGTAGTACTGCATTTGGAAAAATCTTATGTAACAGGTCGAATGATCTAATTCTGGTAATTCAGTAGCATACACTGCGTAAGAGATGACTAAAGGTGATCCGGGGCATAAACTTCTGAGACAGGGAAGCGGGTAAGGAGGAGGGCCAGGAAAGGTGAGAAGCACAATGGGATGGAAACTGACTGATACATTACACACATGTACCAGCTTCCCAAACAAATCCCATCATCACACAGTAACAACACATAGTAACAATTTTTAAGAAGACGACTACACGTGGTTTGGTGTACTAATGAAGTTCACATTTTGTTGTTGCTATTGCTGTACAAAAGAAGGGAAAAATTTTTTCTGTGTTGGTAAAACTTTAACTGGTGGCAAATGGCTGAGAAAAGTGGAGGCCATAAAGAAGAAACGGATAGCTGGGCGTGGTGGTGCACACCTATAATCCCAGCACTTTGGAGGCTGAGGCAGGAGGACCACTTTGAGTTTATGAGGGCAGCCTGGGCTACATAGTGAGTTCAAGGCCAGCCTGAACTACATAGTGAGACCCTGACTTAGGGGGAAAAAAAAATTGATATAGTTAGTAAGACAAGCAAAAAAATGTTTTCTTGGTGTTCACACCAAAACTTTTTACTAAGACCACCTCTCCTTTTTGAAGAAGGCATGTTTTAACAGAGTGGAAGAGGAGTATCAACAGTATTTTAGGAAGTGCGACTCCCGACAGTACCAAGTGAGCAGGGACTCCTGAGGAAGTCTCTTCTTATAGTTTACTTACCTCCACTGATGGCATCTTGCTCTTCCCCTTCGGGAAATGCAGCCTGGCTTGGCAAACTATTCCTAGATCGAGTGACGGTCTCTAACTGTGAAGCCCGTCCCAGTAAAGACAGCTCATCTAGCACCTCTCCCTCTTTGGCCTCAAGATCGGATTTTGAAGTGGTTAATGGCTTTATATTTTCAGGTGCCATGAGTCTATTTGAATCATTCAAACACGCTACTGTGCCACTGTCCAAGCTCAGCACGCGGGCACGGGTCTTGGCACTGTTTGTACTGGAAGTCCGTCGCGGGGTCCGCTTTTTGCTGGTTCCTTCAGGACCCAGATGAGTCCTGTGCACGTGTTCAGAGCCAGCCCCCCTCTCCTTAGGAGCGCGTTTGGTTTTCAGAGCACTGTACCTGCCCTCGGGAGACTGGCAGGAATGAGAGGTGTTGCTGGAGGAGCTGTCACTGCTCAGCTGGTGAGCAGACTGAACACTTGACGCTCTACTCAAGTCACTCTGATCACTGGAGTCCTCATCATGACAAAATATAGCACTGTGCGGTTTGGTGCCAGAAACTCCTCGAAAAGCAACGTAGTCCCTGTGCCTGCTCGAGTCAAAGCTGCTGGCCCGTTTCTTTCCTGCTCGTCTCCGGCCTGACTTGTGGGCAGAGGCTGTCCTGTGGATTAAGCTGGAGGACTTGGGCCGAACATCCCCTTCCTTCTGCTTTCCCCCAGTGTCTTTACCGACTTTTGAATCCACGACCACACTGGCCTTCTCACTCTGCTCCTCTTTGCCTTCGGCGGCTGGTGGTCTGTTCGCTGGTGCGGGAAACTCATTCGCATGGGGGTTTTTATTGGCTTCCTCAGATGCAGAGGTGCTAATCTCTCTCTGGTTGTGCATCTCATCAGAGGCCTGAGAATCCTGGGCCTCAGGAGCCCCACTATTTGAACTCACTTCCAGGACAGTCTTGTCACTGTTAGTCCTTTTGTCACTAGCGCAGCTACTCACGTTCTCAGGGTCAGGACAGGACTCTTCTTTCCCAGTGCTTCTCTTTCCCACCTTAGGAGACTCCTCATGCTCCGACAAGATGCTCTCGATGTGAGTGGAGCTGGTCTGCTCACTCCTATAGCTGCTAACGGTGCTGTTGGTGTCACGGTCCGTCCCACTGCAGTAGCTCTCTGTTGACCCGCTACTCCGGGTGCTCAGGCTCCGCAGGCTGTCCACGCTTTTGTCAGCGTTCAACGCTTTCTTCTTCCCGCTTTTGGTGGGTGGCTGAGAATGACTGTTTTTCAGGTCATCAGCATGCTGAAATCCCCCTGGTACACAGGCATTGTCTGCCAAGGATTCTTTAGATCCAGAATGAGGCTTAGAAGATTCTAACTCACTAACTGGATCTAATCCACGTCTCTGCTGATAAAGAGGGAAGTCATTCAGCGAAGTGTCAGGAAAAGCCACAGCAGAGCTGGAAGTCCGCGGTACACCTCGTGGCCGGTGATCTTTCCTGTACGAATGTGAATGTAAAGGTACAAGGGAAGCTACTTCTGTGTCACAGGCGCTAGAAAGAGACTGTTCAATGTGGTGGTGGTGGCTATGACTGGGCAAGCTTGTTTTGTCACTCAAGTCCTTTGGTAAGTCCTGTCCACAAGAGGACAAGGAAGGCTGAATGGAGATGAAGGAGTCATTGGAGACCAAACGGAAGAGCTTCCGATCAGTTGCCAAATCTGTTTCAAACACATATTTGGAAATGTTAACACAGATGTACGATCTGCTTCTCTACTATTTAACAATGGAGAGAATTCACAGCATACAGTAAATCAAGTATAAACAATTTCTCAAGCAGCTCCCTGATTAACAACTGGCAAGTCACTCCTCAACGCTGGTTTCTGTTCCACAGCTGCACAAAGAAAGCTTTCTATTGATGGAATGAACTGAATTTTCCCATCTCTGAGTTATTCCATTGGCCTCCAGACTATCAGCAACTTTAAAAAGGGGCGGAGGGGATTATACTTTAAATGGACCTGGATTTCTAAGCAATTTCCATCTCTAATTTACCACTTAAGTGACAGTAGGTTACCCTTCTAAATCTCTATTTCTTCTTCTATAAAACCAACCCTCTTGAGGAGTAGGCAAGGAATATGGAGTTAATAACAATGCCTGACACGATGCCTTCACAAGTTATGGTAATATTTTACCTAACATCATGAAAATCCTTTGAAAAACTAGCATGATTATTTTCCAAATCAACAAAAACCTAATCAGAAACAGAAAAAAAAAACAAAATCACGGGGCTAATCAGTGTCCAAATAAAATATGACATAACGATACAAGATAGCTTACTGTTCCTTATAGTTAAAAACACAACAATAATTACACAGCAGCATACCGCATTGTTTCTTTTCTCACTGACACACAGCAATTAAAAAACGCTTCATAAAAAATTACATTACCTTCTGTATCTGTAAAACCATGCATTAAATCATCCTTTTAGCATAGTGACTGGATTTCCATATACACTTTGTAAATATAATGAGAAATGTAGATATAAATAAGTCCATCTACCCATCTACCTAGGTCATAATTCACCTTGGAAGGTACAGCGTGGCAACTGCACTGTACAAAAGCTGATCTTTAAATTTACATTTTGACAGGCAGGATGCTTAAACCTGCTGTTAGTTCAATAAAAAGAAAAATTACAGTCTTATTTGTCATAACTGTATAGACAAAGCATAACAGATTCTTCAGTGAGACTTTCCCCAGTAGAATCAATGGTGAAAGCAGACATTTCTCCCTAAGATTAAACTGAAAAATTTCATTAGCTCTAAATAATTAAAAACTTAAGCGATAGCCTGTAGTATGTATATACCATATAAATTGTGATTTATAAATAACTTGTTAGGCTTTTTCTTATGTTTTAAAGTTTTTAAGATAACTAAAACCACATTATTTATTATTTGCACAAGAACACAATCACTGGACTTAAGATTCTTACATTCTTTAAATTCTAAAATTTTAAAGTTAAACTTGGCATGGTGGCACACACCTGTAATTCTAGCACTCTTCAGAGGCTCAGGTAAGGGATCACAAATTTAAGCCTAGACCATGCAATTTAGCAAGATCCTGTCTCAAAATTAAGAAAGAATATGAAATAAGAAAGAAAGAAAGAAAGAAAGAAAGAAAGAAAGAAAGAAAGAAAAAGAAAAAGAAAGAAAATAAATAACCCAGTACCACCAAAACAAAAAAGTAAAAGAACATTAAGGGAAAGTACACCTCTACATGTTCGGATTTCTTCTGATAATCTGCAATATTGTGACAAAGGGAGTCCCTGCTAATCAATTAACCGCTAACCAACTAAAAGTCACTGTCTTATAAATGCAACCAGCCAGAACCACAAGAGTCCCACGTTCACGAACGCTGTACTTAACCCGGAAGGAACGCCTGCCAGCAGGGGGTGCCAAGGCACAGCTAGGATCAAGGAGGGGCTGGAGAGGGAGCCAGACCTCCACTACCACGCCAACCCCTTATTTAACCTGTGATGTTTTGATTTGGGTCTTTTTGGTTTTTTGCGTTTTTTTTTAAACAGACCAACAACTCCTAAATTTAAAACCCCTAACTCAGACCTCCTACTTGAAATTCAGACTTCTCTGTCTGGCTGTATGGAGGTAATACTAAACACTCTTACCGTAACCCCCATGCTCCTGAATCTGTTCTTCACCCTCTTAGCTAAGGGGGGCTGCAATCTCCTCTGGCCTAACCCAAGAGCCCTGAGTCATGCATGACTACTTCCCTTACATGACACATCCAAATCCATCCACGTTACCTTCCTACGTATCTTACACACACACACACACACACACACACACACTCCCTTGCCTTGGATTCAGCAACAATCTGCTAAATGAGCTCTCTGCTTCAGCTTTTGACCCTTGTATTATACCCTCAATACAGGAGCCACAGTGTTCAGTTAAACGTAACGCAACCATATAGCAGTTCACCTCACTCAGAATCAAAACCAACACCTTTAAAACAGCTAAGAGTCCACACAAGTTCGCCCCTCACTTCTTCCAAACAAGCCACATTTTTTCCCCAAACTGCCAGGCACACTCTGACCTCTCGGCTTCTGCACCTGCTGTTTCCTCTGCATGGCGGAAGCCCCTTTTCCCCACATACTCTGTGGCAGATGCCTTCTCCTTTTTCAGGTCTTTGCTCTAGTGAAGCTTTCCCTCAATCTCTCTATTTAAAATTGTAACTTCCGGGGCTGGGGATTTAGCTCAGCAGCACAGCGCCTGCCTGGCAAGCGCAAGGTTGTGAGTTCATTTCCCGGCACCAGAAAAAAACAAACAAAAAAAATAAAATAAAATAAAATTGTAACTTCCCCAGTTCCCACTACTCCCTGTACTACAGCACTACTTACCACACCTATACTGACTTATATTAGTATGATTCCATGCTAGTATGGATGCCATAAAAAGGTTCAATTTCTTTGGTCTGTTTACTGATTTATTTCTGGTAATGAAAAGAATGTTCAGCACGAAAAAATGTTACATGGGTAAAAGCAAGTTATAAAACCACGGGAAAGTAGAATAGCAATGATTAGGTAATTTCTCTCTAAGCCACAACGTTTATCTGAGAATATTATCAACTTTAGATGTCTGTTGTAAAGACTGCATAAATTCACACACAATGCTTAGAGGAACTAAACAAGCTAGAGGCTGACAAGTAAGGACCATGGAACAAAATCGGGCAGTGTTTGTAAATAAAGTTTTAGTACAACAAACCATTCCCATCATTTATCTATTGTCCATAGCTTCTTTCACTTTACAACTCAGTTGTTAGGTAGCAAGACAGACCACATGGTCTACAAAGCTATCTGACCTTTTACAAAATGTTTTTTTGTTTTCTTTTGTTTTTTGTCTTTTTGAGACAGGGTCTTGCTATGCAGTTCAGGCTGGCCTTGAGCTCACTTTGTAGCCCAGACTGGTTTCAAACTCACAAATGATCCTCCTGCCTCAGCCTCCCGAGTGCTGGGATTACAAGCATGCGCCACCACACATGGCTCAAAAAACGTCTGCCAACTCCCTGGCTCAAACAACAGAACTCACTCAGTGAGTGTCAGGTGTAGTTATGTTAGTGCACAGCTAGCTACAAGAGTAAATGTAGATCCCAGGCTTCCAGACTGTAAGGATCTTCCCTGCACATAGCACTTTTCAGATATAAAATAATGAGCTATATCCGAAATGCAGTGACCCCAAGCCCCTCTATAACTAACTAGGTGAGCTTACAGATTACAGAAAGGTATACTGTAAGTCTCAAGGCAACTGATTCACCTTTAGTTAAAAAAAAAAAAAGGCGAGGGGGGGCAATATTCCACAAAAGCAAGTAAATAATGATGGCTACTGTAATTCAAAAAAAAGCACAGAATTACAGTGATAAGCTTCAAAGTACCAGCAACAAATGTCTATTTCTTGTAAGAAATAGACTTGCATAAGTTATCAAATTAATGGGAAAATACCCTAATTTAGTGATCTATGCATAGTTTAAAAACAGGCATCATGATTAAGAATAGGAAACCTACCAGCCAGTCTGCTCATAAACATTGCCCATGGCTTACAAAAGCAACCAGTAATAACAGAAAGGAAATAGGGAGACAGGTCTCTTGTCTAGTTTTGGCTCTTGATTATGTGTAACCTTGAATAAGCTCCATTTAAAAAAGAGGGATGACTTATCTTTCTTTTCATGTTTGAAAATTTTTTAAATCACACATGAAAATGTGTTAAAATAACTACACAAATCCAAAATATTTTTAACAGTAAAAAAAGAAAAAAAAAATCGAAGCATAAAAAAAAAAAATTCCAAAATGTTCATTTCTGATGAAATTGAGTAAGGAAGGAAAAAAAAAGTCACACACAGCCAAAGTTTCTATTAGCAATCTGCTACAAGGCGCCATGCTGGAAATACATACAGCTTCTCAGAGTCCAGCAGTAAGTTATTTATCTAACATACTGTAATGTCTACAGCTAGGTAAGAGATAAAAAAGCTGGCACTCAAGAGATCATACTAAGTGGAAAATAACAATTTACATACTACATTTTCATTTAGCTGGTTTACATGCTCTGAGCAACTACAGGAACAGCAAATTCTTCTGTCCCATCTCATAAAACTTCTCTATGTTTATTTCATAGAACATATATAACTAAATTCAGTAGGGTAAAAGTACCTTTGAAGCCATTATATAATAAGTCATTTTAATGTTTCCTAAAGTAACTGTATTAAATCATAAATCTCTGTCAAAATGTGAGCAACACAGTCCGCAGATTCACCCTCGCCACCACAACATACAGTGTCACCGTGAAGCACGAAGTTCTTACCTTGCTCTTCGCTTCCTTCCTTACAGAGACTAGAGCTCTGGCCTAGACTTAAACTGATATCATCAGAAGTCTTAGCAGTGTCTGTATCTCCTATAAACAGAAACATTGGCAGAACCAAGAAAGAACATCAGGAGTATGGTCAAAATCTATCAAATGAAGTGTTCTCTGTATCAAGGGTTGCAACAACGGGAGATCCATTGTAAGAAGTACCACGTGCTAGCAAGAGCACAGCATCAGTCTTACAGAACTACAAGCCAATAATAGAGAATGCTTTATAATGTTACCTAGTAAAACTGGTTTTTAAAAAGGAAATGTAAATTATAATAAGTTATGAAATAACATAAATTTCCTTCCCCTAAAAAGCTGTTGGGCAAACAGTACAGCTTACATAGAGGTATAAAACAAAAGAGGGGAAAAAACTTTCTTCTTTCACTGTTTCATTTGCTAAATGCTAAACCTCTGAAAGCATTTTCCCTCAGCAACAAAGCTTCTAATAAATTAAACTTATAACTCATGCAGTATAATACAAATGGTCACTTTTGTGAAATTTGAGTAACACAATTTAAATCACACAACCTTGATAAGATAACTTTATCTGTAAAATGATTTTTTTCATTGTATCTCAAAGTACAGTACTGTTACGTTTATTACAACCTAAGGGAAAAAAAGAAATGGCAAGTCAGAGGCAATACTCAAGTCACGTCACGTCTACCTTTAACAGTGGCTGCTGTTCCAAGACGAGAGGAACCGGATCCAATCTGTAAACATAAGTTAAATCGAACTAATTAAAATACTGGCTATATCTTTACCGATTCAAACTAGTAAGATTATAAAGGAAAATGATCAATTTATCTAAACATGCTCTCAGTCACTTTTACCAATATTAAAAGGTACCTGCTGGGCGTGTTCTACAAGAGCCACACAACCCGCCTGCTGAGGCACAGGTGTGCTTAGATTCCCAGTCTCCCCCCCAACACTCAGGACTGATGCAGCCCCCAGGGCCCAACGCTCCAACCTCTAGCAATTCACATCATACAGTCATTGTTTGCTGTACCACATCATGGTATGTCCACGTTACAAACAAAAGCAAAACCAGGCATTTGTGAAATAGAGGTTTTAGGGTTTGGGGATGGTGGGGGCAAAATGTATTAACATGCTACAGAGCAACAACATATATCTTACTGCCAAATTGTTAGTGTAACAATATGTAGCATCCTTAGTTCCAGAGAAGTCAATACTTTGTAGATGATTAGAACATTATAAAAATTGAAGGTGTCCACAAAGCTCCATTTTTAAGTACAAACTATAATTAGGAAAGTAAAATCAGGTCACTTAACTTTTAGTGTTTATATTCAAGATGGTATAACACTTTCTTAAATCTTCATAGCCATTATTTGTCATAAAAATCATACAAACACATACCACCAACTTCATGAACACAGAAGGCATCCAAATATGACCACATGACAGTTAATTACATCAAGTAGTCCTAGCAACTCTTCCTACAACTTGTTTTCATGGGACTCAAAGAACAAGAAAATGATCAAGCAAATCTAGCTTCATAAAATAAAATAACATAAAATTATCATATAATTCTTTATATATTTTACTAAGTTTTCCCTTTCAATTTAAGAGAAGTACACAAAGAATATGCTCAGAATATAGATTAATGCTGTCTTTACAGGGGCAGAAGAGATGCTGTCCACTGAACTCACTGAGATGCACAATTCACTGAGATGCACAATCAAGATGTGCACTGCAGTGTGTAAATTCCATGTCAGTGAAAAGTAGACAAAAATAAGCACACAGATATGTGTGACACTAGTCATGAACCTCTGGTGTAGCCAATAAAAACTAAGCTCCAGATTTCGGTGACAAACACCAACTCCTATTCCTCAGAGTCGCTACTGTTGAATACTCTATTACTTGGCTAGCAAAGGCAATTTTAACAGATATCATGGGTGATTATATTTTATTCTTCATGTCTTTCTGTATTATTTATGATTCTTCCCAAAATATCAAAAATCTTGAGTATTTATGATAGACCACAGGGAATCAAGAATACAAACTGCAGTACATCTAAATGCAATGCAGTCCCCAAAGTGCCACTGTAGAAAGTCTTTCAACAACATTAAAAATAGTCACAAGACGTTCAGCTAAGAGAACTGAGTTCCAAAGGACAGCAGTATACTGTAACTCCATTCTGTTTTCAAAAGATTTTTATTAGATGAGCATAATGGTGCAAGCCTATAATTCTGGCACTTTGGGGCAATTTAGTGATTTAGCAAGACCCTGTCTCAAAAGGGCTGGGAATGTAGCTAATACAAAGGTCTTGGCTTCAATCCTTGTATACTCAAAAAAACAAAAAAAAGATTTCTACTATGTATGTCATGAGTTATGTTAATTTTCTTCTTTTTATTTCATTTAAATTTTCAAAGAATAAAAAAGAACGAGTAAGAAAACATGGTACCCCTTATACTTGGAGGTAAGACATTTTAAGTGACTTGCATAAATTAAAACATTCCAGTGTTTCTTCCCTGCAGTGTCAAAGGAACAGTCCAGGAAGGACTAAGAATGTCAGAAGGAAGACTGAGATGCTCTTGCCAGAGAGTATCTCAGGCAAAGTCAACCCTCCATGAAGCCCTTCCTTTCTACCTGAAATTAGTTTTCCTCCAAAGTCAGCCCTTTTTCTGTACCATTCCAATGGTAATTATTACTTTGTTGTACTTAACTCCTTGGTAACATACCTGACATTTATAACATGGTTATTTATGTCACAGGTTGCAAATCGCAGGGTTGCAATCCTTACCGTGGACCATTAAAATGCCTTGAATACTATCAGGCACGAAAATATCTGACAGAGATAGATGACAAAAGGAAAGAAAAGAAAGGGAGAGAAAAGCAGGATAAAAAAGCAAGACAACTGTTAGAGGTAACAGATTAATATTGTGTTTTAAATCCCCCTCAAAAGGACAAAAGAAAGGGTAGAGACCAAAGGGAATGGTAGAGGTAACAAGAGGAAATGAATGATAACAAGGACTAAGACACAGCCATTATGTTCAATAATGCATAATAAATGCTTCAAAGTATGTACCAAAAGCAGTATAACCATATTGGTAATACCTGCTTCTACTTCACTTCAGCTTCTCTAACGATACTCGGGTCCATATGAACAGCACTTATCATAAACATTATAAAAACAAAACCACTAAAACCTAAAAAGCATGACAGCTTCCCAACTGCCCACTTGAAGAGTCACTATTTTAAGAAAAACATAATTGGGTATTCTGTGTGTTTGTGTGTTTTAGTTATATTGAAGAAAGAACTCTATCCCTAAAATGAGTAGAACAAGTTTCTGTCAAAATGATGACAAGGACTAAGTATGACAGGTCCTGGCCGTCACCATGCCCTTTCACTTCCCTACTGCAAAAACAAAGACAAGATGTGTCTCTCTAAAATATTACTGGATCCTGAGAAACTATCTTGTAGATAACAATATGTAAAACAACAACCACTGATAATTTCCTACCACTCTGTCTGTAATTCGCTAAGCCCCCCATTACTATGTTATCCTTCTTTCACTCTTTAAAATAATAAAATAAAATAAAATAAAAATATTACTGGAAAAATGTAGGGTAATTTCCTGGGGTAATGTGACACTGCCTATACTTATCAGTAAGAGTAAAAGCCAAGATTAATTAAGAAAGAAAACATGTAGCCATAGTTTTAGTCATTTTATTCTACAGAAAGAGACTGAGGGATAAAAAAAATGAATAAAGAATTAAGAGGTGTTGTGTACATGTACCAACTTCACACAGTAAATGCAAATAAAGATAAATAAAAAGAGACTGAGAAAAACACAAAGCAAACAAAAGCAGGCTTAGGGATAGTAACACTTTCTGCAAACTTGAAACTTAAAAGATCAACCTAATTAAGACATACAGCACAGCATTTTTTAAAAAAATACTCTTCCCTCCCTTTAATAGCAACATCTGCATTCCAGCAGCTTGTTAGGGAAAGAAGACAAATTCAAGGACCTACTTGTCCTACACTGTATTTTACCACAACTAGAACTGTTATCAAAAATTCACTCACTTGAACTTAAAACCATGAAAATAAAATTCAAATACAAGCAAATCTTCCAACAAAATATATTAGGAAATAAGACTCTCTTTGAGATTTTGATTCACAGAATATGCTAGTTTTCATAATATTCTTCTTACTATATAGATTCTACCAAGGTAAAATAGTTCAATACCAGTCAGGAGAATTAGGTCTGCTTTCTACTTGTTTGTTAAATGAGGAGCCAAGTCCAACTTAACTTCAAAAGGTTTATTATCCACACACATAAAGATAATCAGCAATCATTAATTGAAAGGCAACTGTACACAAGGCAGTATATTATGCTGTGGAAAGCAAAAGGAAAATACCAAGACTTCTAAACTGCCACATACCATCACACACCAAAAATGAACTGCTACAATAAATTATTAATGTTCTATCTGTAAGAGATCGGGTCAACACCATAAGATCTTTAAAAATCTTGAGAAATAGGGTGGTAACAAGTAGAGTTAGAGTTAGGACAGATAATAAAAACTAAGTTTCCCTTCAGAACAGAATGGGAGAAAGAGGAAGATCAGTTTCAACCTACAAGCTGTGTACCTATCAGCAGAAATGCTGAGAGAATCAGCAAGCAAGGCTGAGCCTGGATCAGTGACGGTGAACCTTTTAGAGCTTTCAATGATACAAACAGCCCACTGCGGCACATGTGCCATAGGTTCGCCATCGTTGACCTAGACTCTGACGGAAATCAGCTGCTTCTCTCACATCATAAAAAGGCTGACATAACGAGCACTAAACCCCACATAAAGTTCTATAATGAGAAATTTCTCCCAAAACGTTTACTGTACTCCACCTAGTGAGGGTCCCTGCTATTAAGACAAGCATAAAGACTAAGGTCTGGCTTAGCCCTGGAGATGTTTACGGTGAGTGAGAAAATTGTACAGCACAACCAAGGATAGACCACCTGAGGGTAAAACAGGTCACAGCTTAATGCTGAGAAAACACTTGTGGAGTTACTACTCTCATAAAAAGTTACACAGGAAGACAACATTAGAATTGGCAAAAGCAGATTTATATTCTACTTCTAGTTCTACCATTACCATCTCGTTTGGGTAAGTTATTCGATTTTTTTTGCCATGTTTAAACTAATGATTATCACAGACATCAGGAACTTTCCAATACAGATGATGGACAGATAAATAAAAGAAAGCTAGGCATGCATATTCCTTAGGCGTTCACCATAACTGTCTTGGTCAAACTATACACGCAGGCAGTGAACATGTGGTATGTGCTCAGCAAATATATATTTACTAATGTGAAGTTGGTTTAAAGATTAATAAACATATTATTAATGAATAGTCAAAAATAATCAAAGATAAACATCCAACTTGCTGAGACTAATGACTGAAACTACCACAGTGGGAAGGACAAGGAATGCACATTAAATTAAAACAGCAGAAGTTGCTACCTGGTTACTTGGATCTAGACCAGCATAAGAATTTCTTGAACTGCAACCAACTGGAGGTGTGGCCTCTCGAATGAACTCAGACATTTCAATCCCTCCACCAGGATCACTGTGTGAGAAACATGAGAAAAAAAGAGTAACTGTCATTATTCTGAGACCAATAATTTTTTCATTCCCTTGTGATTTTTGAAGTTATAATATTTTTCTGTAAAGCTGAGGTTCTGATTTTTAAGAGAAAAAAAGACTTATTCTTGATTTACGAGTCTGAAAAGTGGAACTATTTAGTAATATCTCTATTTGAAAATATTTAAGACTCTCTTATCCCAAACTGTCTACACTCAATCCAGTATTAGAAACTACCCTTAATTACAAGGATGGCATACTAAATATTTTATGATATGTGCCATAAAACCACTCTAGCAAAGAAACAATTGCCTTTTGTTTCCCAAGAGCAAAGAGCAATTGGTCGATTACAAAGAAAGTAACTACACATCACACTAACTGAAGTCTCCAAGAGAGAAGTCTGACTCAGCCGCATGACACACTGGTGACAAGAGAACAGGCATCTTAAACTATCTGTATCTGACTTTTTAAGTAATCAGAATGTATGTATGGGAGACACTATCACAAAACTGGAAATCTAAGGTTTTATTCTTATGCAGGTTGAGATAGAAAGCCTAAGTTTAAAGCAGTAAAACAGGTATTAGAAAATCAAGAAGGAAAAATGTCCTAGTTTCCAAAGAGCTAAAGAAGCCCATGTAGAATACTTAAGAGTCAATGGGAACCCATTAGAAAAAAAACTCCTATCAAATTTCGAAACTCTTAGAAAATGTTACATAGTAAGTTTCCTCAGGAACGCAACTCACAGAACTGATAATCCTATTTTTTTGACCCAAAGCGTTTTACTCATTCTACCTGATATAAAGAAAAAATGGAATATACTTAAGTTTATAAGTTTAAGCTGTTCAGAGTTACTTTAATTTATACCAGCTATCCAGGCTACACTGAGAAACCCTTCTGCACTGGACAGATCCTAAGGGCGTCCCGAGGGGCAGCCATCACCACACGCAGGTAGTGATGAGAAGCGGCCAGCAATGTCACTGTCCTCTCTGCCCGAATGCTCACTCTACATCAGACCCACAGAAACCAGAAGGTGGAGGGCAAGGTGAAGATTAAAGAACGAAACATTCAGGGGGCTGGGGATTTAGCTCAGCGGCACAGCACCTGCCTGGCAAGCACAAGGTCATGAGTTCGATTCCCAGTACCAGAAAAAAAAGAAAAAAGAATGAAACATTCAACATCACAGGAAGATAGAGAGCCCTCATCTTCACTGTGTGTAAATATCAGCTTTACTAATATATAACTTGCATACTACACAATTTGCCCAATTAAACTGTGTAAGTCACTCGTCTTTATTATATCCAGAAAAGTTACAAAAACCAGCACAATTTTAGGGCATTTTCATCATATCAAAATTAAAACCCTTTCAGCTATTTTCCTCTCCCTTTTCCATTCTCCTCAGCACTAAACAACTACTACTCTTTCAGTTCCTAAATTTGCCCATTCTGGATATTTCCTAGTAACAGAATTATATAGTACTATATGTCATCTTTTGTGACTGGCTTCTTTCCCTTAGTATAAAATTTTCAAAGTTCAGCCATGTCACGGCGTGCTTCAGCACTTCTTTTTATGGCCAAGTAATATTCCACTACATGCATACAGACTCCCTTTTGTTTCTCCAGCCACAGGCAGGACAACCTTGCCTACTTATCCATCACTTCTAATAGCAAATCCAAGGGATCACAATCTAACTGTAAGGTTATTATTAATAGTAATAAACAAATCACATGTTTACTAAGTACTTATTATATCCCAGTCATAGGAGAATGTGCTTTATTCATGCCTTCTGATAAAATCGTCCCTAAAATCTGTAACATAAATATTATTTACATTTAACAGATGAAAAAGACTGAAAACTAAAAGCTAAAATCTCCCTAAAGTCTCAGGGAGGTAAATTACATAAACTGCCATTGGCATACGGAGCTCAGGTAGGAAGTAAGTGCACAAATAATACTCGGCACGCTACAATGTGCTGTTTTTTCCTTTTTTTCCCCCACACTTCCATACAGCTACTCGCAACCAGTATAAACCAAGACAAGGCTTGAACAGTAGGTCTATAAAATTCCAAAGCCCATACTCTATGAAACTGCATCATCTCTCAATAAAAAGGCATTGCGAATTTTTCTTCTAGTTCCAAGCTGAAGAGTAAACACCATTCTCTAACGAAGTCTCTTAACTTCTGCCCTACTGACATTGGGGGACCACATAATTCTGGACTGCAGAAGACTGTCCAGTGCATTGTAGGATGGCTAGCAGCATCCCTGGCCCTTACCCCCTACATGTCAGCAGCACCTCCCAGCCGTGACAATTAAAAATGTCTTCAGATACTGCCAAATGTCTGGGAGGCAGGGACCATTCTACAGTGACAAACAATGATCTAGAACTAACACTGGTCCATGTCCAGCACTGACTGGGAAAAAAGGAAGAACCAAAAATAAGAACAAAATGGATGGCTCTTTTCTTACATAGCTTATGTAGCAAAATTTCTCTACTTCACCCTTCTCTTCACATTCACAAGTAGAACATGTTTAAATATAGCTGAACATATAAAGTGGCTGAGTAAGTGCTTTTCCTTATTAGCAAGACTCGCAGGGTTTTAGCAGTGGAGATTTCAGCACATACCTGGAAAGTATAGTGGCTTACAATTCTCACAGAAGCAAAGTGGTCTACTGCAGTAAGCAATACACCAAATTCAGGGAATCTCTACCTTAATGCCTTAATTTCCCCATCTGTTAAAAAAAAAAAAACCAGGTACAGGGAAAGGCAGAAAAGAAGGGGTCTATTCTGAATTACAGAGGTGACTTTACAAAACTAATTTCTGATTAGAATTATATTAACTGATCATACTCTGGCTTTAACCAGAAATGTCACAGCACCATTATAGTACCAAGTTTATATACCTAATTAAATTATAATGATGCTCATAAAAATATGGATAGATAAAATCTCTAAAGAGAGAATAAACCTCCATCAAACACCCTAAAATTCAACTGTATATAGGTTAAATGGATCTTCAGCTTATGTTGTAAGTGTTACTGCCATGAGAAACAAAATATGGTCTCCAAAGTATCTGTTTTTAAATCATTAAATTCAACATGCTAACTACTTCTCGTGAAACGTTAAAAATGTAATACAAACATTAAAGACTGACTCTTTCTCTAAAATAAAGACTTAAGCACTTTTCAACGGTTGCGCCACATAAGAGAGGCCAATAAAAATCAGAAGGCTCACGAAGTTCTGCTATATTCACTCATTCGTGCAATCAGCTGACAGCTCTGATGCACCAACCACAGGTGCTCTGTACAAAATACACAACGTTTTTCTTTTCTTTTCCTCAGAACATAATGCAAGATTCACAAGTGTGAGAGTGAGGAAAAAGAGATACCAAAAACAAAACCTAGCCAGGCATGATAGCATGGCACACCTATAATGCTAGCTCTCGAGGAGGATAAAGTAGGAGAATCACTGCAACACTGAGCTATACAGTGAGTTCAAGGCCAGCCTGAACTACACATCAAAACCCTATCTCAAAAAAAAAAAAAAAAAAAAACCCTACCTCAAAAAAACAAACAAATACCTAAGGCAAAGACCTACCTTATTAGAAAATTAGAGAAAAAACAGAGGCTATACATGGGTGCTGCTTCAACTTAACTACGTGCTAGTTGCCAATGAAAGCAATGAGTATAAAACTAGAGAAAAGATCAGTGACAACTACAAAGTAAACTGATAGGGAGATTTTTAATAAGGTTCCTGGGTACAAAGTAAACTGACCCATTTAAGGAAGAAAAAAGTAAGACATAATTTAAATTTTTTAAATAAAAGAAAAGCGATAGAATAATACAACTCCTCATATGGAGAACATTACCAAATTTTACCAAAAGGAATTTTTTAAAAAGACAAAATAAATGGAGAGACACATTATAGTAAAGATATACTCAGCAGAGCAATCTATATTTTCAAAACAGTTCCAATAAAAATACCAAGTTCTTGCAGACTTTTCCTGGTAGACTCTATAAGGTTATAACAAATGAAGTGATATCGAAGAGCAAAGAGTCAGAAGAAGGTAGGTTTCCCCAGCAGTTATCAAACGCTGTGTCATAAAGCTACGGTAACTAGAACAGTGTGGCAGGGATAGACAACCAGATCAACCAAACAGCAGAGACAGCAGAAACACACCACCATCTACATACAAAACACAACTTACAACAGGGAGAATACTGCAGGTTTCTAAGGAAAAGATAGTTCTCCTAACAAGTATTAAGTAAATTAGTCATTCATAACGAAAAAGTAAGTCTTAATGTCTACATGACACTGTGGACTAAAATAATTTCAGATAGAATTGAAATGTGAGGGCGGGGGTTATAGCTCAGGGGCATAGTGGCCGGCTGGCAAGCACAAGGTTGTGAGTGTGATTCCCAGAACAAAAAAAAAAAGTCAGAATTGAAATGTGAAAAGAAAAGACACATAAAACTTTAAAAAGATAATATAAAAGCCTATCTCTGTGTTAGAAAATAATTTCCTAACACAGAAAAAGGCTACTTATTAAAAATGCTAATTTTTATTTTATTAAATGTATGAATGTATAATTACAAGAAATCTTAAGCAAAATGATTAAGTCACAAACCAGGTGACGTCTATAATATACAAAATTTGTAAAGGAATAGTATGAAATCTATTTTTTAAATTTCTATTAATAAGAGAACTACTTCAAATAAAAATGAAACAAGACAAATATTGATACTGAAGGAACAGAAAACCTAATTGGGAAGTAAATATAAAATAAGATCCTCAGTAATCAGAAAGGTGATCTAAAGATCATAATAAAATACATCTTACACTCACCAAAACAACAAATTTTGTGTGTATTATTTTGAGACAATGTCTCCATAAGCCACTAAGTTGCCCAGGCTGAGCTCAAACCTGTGATCCTCCTACCTCAGCCTCCCAGGGTACTGGGATTACAGGTGTGCACTATCACATCCTTCACCAGCATGGCACAATTTTACAGTCTGTCAGTATCAAATGTTAATAAGGATGTGGAATAATAACATATCACTGGTGAGTATAAATTTGTAAAAATTCTGTCAAATAATTCAGAATTACCTAATAAAACTGAATATGAAAATGCCCTATGAACCAGCATATATAAAGCATATATACATATGTGTACCAGAAGATATAAATAACGTTTTATTGGAGAAAATATTGCAAATAATCTAAGTAAGTATCAGCAGAAGAATGGACAGATTTTAGTCTACTCCTGTAGTAGCAGGCTATATGACAGTGAACAATATCAACATAAACAGCTACAAATATCAACAGCTACAAATATCAACATAAACTACAGCTACAAAATACACTGTGCAAAAAGGCCCTCACAGAGAAATACACATACAAATTCTCTTTAGGATGTCATGAAGCAGATAAAATAATGTATTTAGGGATACTTACAAAGTTCATATCACAATAAAAGAAAGCAAAAGAACTACTGACACAGTAAAAAAAAAAAAACAGTCACTCCTAAAGGGAAAAGTAGAATTACACGTTTTTATATAATTTTTGGAACATACATTTTCATATGAAGTTTTTTTAAAGTAAAAAAAAAACCTAATTCATTAACAAAACAATTGCTATGACATCCAGAAGAAATAAGCATACGGATAGGTTACCAAATGACAGGAGTGTTTTAAGTGCATTACATAAAATACCTTATTTGCTGAAATAACCTATGAGATAACACTATTACTGACCTTATCGTTCTAATGAGAAAGCCAGGGCATAAAAAGCTTAGGTAATTTCTCCACTCACACAATTAGGAATGATCTAAGCCTCAGCTGACTTGAGCGCAAAGTCTGCAGTCTGTTTGCTTACCTCCTGTCTTAAGGTAGAAGAGAAAATGTGCAGAGCGTATTTGAAAAATCTAAAATTTTATAGAAGTTAATTTAATAAGTGGATGGTAAATGGAACTGAATGGAAACCTCAACTAAGTTCTTGGATAAGATGTTCTATTTTAAAGGTTGAATTTCTCCAAATTTAGAGAAACTAACATCAATAGTCCAAGGGGATATTTTGAAGAGTGAGCACATGGGAGTATCTCACAAAAAAGTTAAATATTCATGAGAAAAGTAACATTCAAAAAGAAAAATATTGAGAAGGGATTCATATTGCTAGGGATTAAGCCTATTATAAAACTACTGTGATAAAAACAGGACCACAGCCAAGCACTGTGGCACACACTTGTAATCTCAGCTACTTAGGAAGCTAAGGGAGGAGGACCACAAATTCAGGGTGATCTGGGCAACTTCACCTCTGTCTCAAAATAAAATATAAAAAACGGCTGAGGATGTAGTTCAGCTAGAGCACCTGTGAGTCTGATCACCAGTATCGTAAGAAAAGGGACTAAGGGCCTGAAGTATGGTATAAACAAACAAGACAGCAAGATAAATGGTACAGAAACAAATTTCAGAAACTGGCATAAATACAGAGGATCCTCCATATCCACACATTCTGTACCTACAGAGTCAACCAACCACGGATCAAAAATAATTCACGGGGGAAAATGTGTCTGTACTAAACTATTTACTAAATATGTCTGTACTAAATGTACTGTGGAAAGGTCTCTCTGGTCATTATTCCCTAAACAATATAGTGCAACAAATGTTTACACAGCACTTACATTGCATTTTGTATTATACGTAATCTAGAGATGACTTTAAAGTATACATGAGGATTAGCACAAGTTGTATAAAAATACCATTACTGTACTTATAAAGGGGCTTAAGTATCTATGGACTGTGGTTCACACACATAGAGCCAATGCCCAGCAGACATCAAGGGACCACTCTATATGTAAAGTGTGCTACGTGAAAAAACGCATTTAGAATTACTGGGGGGAGGGGCTGGGGATTTTAGCTCAGCGGCACAGCGCCTGCCTAGCAAGCTCAAGGTTGTGAGGTAGATTCCTGGTACCGGGGGGCGGGGGGGGGGACAAAAATTACTGGGGGGAAAATGCACTATTTAATGAATTTACTACTTAATGAATGGGACAAACCAAAACTCATTTGACTACCTTCAAACTGACTATAACTTAAAAGGAAAAATAAAATGACAAAAATAATGAATTATACGAGTAATATAGAGGAAGGAAAACTTACAAACTCGCTATTAGAGGCAGAAATAGCAAATATAAAACAGACCACACAAAATGAACTGTGGCACATATACAGACAAAATGCCATAAACTGAGGTGAAGTATTTAACACAAAAGATAGAGTTAATACTTCATAAATATGAATCTTCTCCAAAACAGCAAAAAACCTACCAACAGAAAAATGTCACAGTGTAACAAAATGGCAATAACAAAAAAAACCTCCACTTCATCAGCAATCCAAAAGCAGAAATATTCAATGATGAGATATAAAATACTTCTCAGTGTTGTCCGAAGTATAAAAAAGAGGCCCTCAGACAGCAGGTCACAGTAAATGGCAAAATCTTTGAAACCTGACAATATATATCAGAAAACTTAGAAACATAAGCAGCTATTCCAGTAATTATGCCTCTTGATAAATTATGGTAAAACATTTAATCACCTGAAATTTAATCATCACACTGATCTAACACTGAAATCTGAATCTAAAAATAACTGAAATGACTAAAAGTAAGATAGCTAAAATTATGACACATTCGGGCAAGTGGAATACTATGCATCATTAAAAATAATATCACAGAAAAACTGTTTTCCCTGCTTCAACTGTTTGCTGAGTCATTATCAGTGCCAGAAAGTGATTTAAGACCTGGTAATTTAATAGTTGATAAGAAAAGCAAGGTCCCTAAATTCAAGAAGCTTATAAATGCAAACAAATGAATAAGAAAGATAATTTTAGGTAATAATTAATACAATGAATGCAACTACTGTTAAGTAAAATATGTATGTCTTCATACAGGTGTATCAGCTTTTTATTTTTTATTTTTTTTTGGTTTTTCTCCGGTACCGGGAACCGAACTCACGACCTTGCGCTTGCCAGGCAGGCGCTTTTGCCGCTGAGCTAAATCCCCAGCCCCTGTATTAGCTTTTTATTACATCACTTTACCTTAATACCAAAATGAATGTATGCTCCGCTGAGTTGAAACATGGCATGGAGCTAAAAGCACTCAGTCGAGTGCTTGGATTATCTGATCTCTCACCTTGGTCTCCACAACTGTAAATCAGGAATAACAGCAGCTATCTCACAGAATTACTCTGAATACTAAATAATCTTGTATATATCAAGTGTTCACATCAGAACTTCTTTTAAGAAGTACATTAGTACCCATAATTCCAACACACTAGGAGGCTAAAACAGGAGGATCCCAAGTTTGAGTCCAGCCTAGGTAATTTAGTAACACTGTGAGACCCTGTCTCAAAACTTTAAAAATAAAGTTTAAAAAGGGCTGGGGATGTAGCTCAGTATGAAGACTCTAGATTCACTGTACTCAGTACCACAAAGAAAGAAAAAAAAAAAAAAGGAAAAAAGAAAAAATGTTACAGTAGGAGTATCCACTATTATTTGTGTAAAATCATAAGAAACTTTTGCCTCTAAAGAAAATACACCTCTCTGTCCAAGACAGCAAGCTAGTGGAGCCAAGGAAGTACTTTACAATGTAACTGTGACCAACAGGGACCACACTATAGCTGGACAAGGAGGGGACAGCCCCCACAAGGATGTGACATCTACCCAGACTGAATCCTGACAAGTCAGCTTTGTGAAGACCAAGGATAGGAAAAGCTACGTTTTGAAGACAAGAATATAGAATTGAAACATACATATAACAGATAAATTGAAAAAATGCAGATCATGCCAGGAAAATATCACAATTTGCTTAAGATATACATATATTTTATTTATATGCATAAACTTTTAAATGCTGAATTTATTAACCATACTTAGTTATTTCCTAATAATTAAGAAATAATGGAAAATTAAGTATTTTTCCATACTTAATTATTTTTTGGGTTTTTGTGTAACTATTATACAGTAGCATACTGTTCTAACGTGTATAATAATGAGGCCAAGGATATTAACTTACTCCCCAAAAGTATGACAGTTAGCTTTGCTCTGTTCTAAAATTACAACCTGTACTTCTTATTATACCTATGGTGCTAAGATCTAACGTTGTCTTAAAACAATACAGAGACCACAAGCACAGCGCAATACCTCCATACACACACCACCATCTATACTGTTGCAAAATGAGTGCCAGAGGGTTCCCTACCTTGGTCCATTGCTGTCTTTCCTCCTGGTTGAACAGTTGCCTTGTTCAGCTTTGGCTCGCTGATCTACAAATTCATTTGTGCTCCTGTCTATGACTTCTCCGGCATCCAGCGCTCTGTGGAGTCGATAGTTGACCATCTTCAGAACAATGAAAACAGCAGCTACCACAGGACAATAAACTGCTACTATAATCATGGAAGAAGGAAGGGCCTTTAAGAGAAAATAATGATATGCATTTTAGACTATTTTACATATTATTCGTGAAAGATTTGTATCTAAAATCATAAGCCCATTGACACACAAAGCCATTACGCCACTAGTGTGAAGTCGCAAAGATGTGAGACTGCGCTGCCAACGCAGAAGCCGCCGGCGGCTGCGGCAGCGAGCGCTGCGAACACGGCTTGGGTCGAGCCGGGATGTGCAGTGAGAGTGAAAGAGGGGCAGACTTCAAAGACTCAACAGGAGCAACATATAGAAGATCTCAATTCTTACACACATTGTGTGCTGAAACAGCACTTAGATTATACCCGCTTAAATAAAAGATTATTGAACTTAAATGCACCTGTTCCCTCTTGCTTACTATGGCTACTAGAAAATTTTAAATTACCTATGTGGCTCATATTCCATTTCTTGTAGAGAATAATGATACACGGCCCATAGCAAAAAGCTTATAAAACTGGAAAGCTAAGGTGTCGTTATCAGTGAATATGTGAATAAATCAGGGTTGCGATCCAATAGAATCCCTATTTATGCATTCAGTGTAACATTTTTTAGGATACAAACATTGTGTTCCAGAAAACTGGAGGTTAAAACTGTCATGACAGTTACCTTAGAACTGTGACTATAAAACCAGGTAAGACATAAAAGATAAGAAAAATCCAAGTAAAATTTATTTTAAAACACTTAAATGCTTGAAATACTCAAAAATTACAGCCTGCTAACAAAAAGAATAAAAGAATCAGGTAATAAATGGATTAATTAGAGTAAGTCAGTCAAGAACCCTGGACGTGGAGACTGCAGCCCGCTCACACTGGAGGACTAAGTACTGAGGAGCCTGAGCAGCAGGCGGCGCGCTTGGCGACCACCCCCTGGGGGCACAGCCTCGGCGTCACTGCCGGCAGAGCATAAAACCAAATTTAACTTAGTTTCTCTTTCATGAGAAAAGTCACCCTGGAAGTCTGTGGCTTCAGAGCCCGCATGCTCCTCTAAGATCCAACATCAGCCATCTGAAAACATGACCCCAAACTGGTTTGGGAAAGGGAAAATCAAACGGCTCGAAATAGCAAAACTGAAGACGTTTCCTGACCTAGTCAGGTCTGGAACACAGACATGATGCAAGGTTCGTTTAAAATAGTTATTCAAGGGGCTGGGGATTTAGCTCAGCGGCAAAAGCGCCTGCCTGGCAAGCGCAAAGTCGTGAGTTCGGTTCCCGGTACCGAAGAAAAACAAAAACAAAAACAAAACCAAACAAACAAAAAAAAAAATAGTTATTCAAGGAGGACAGAGTGTAGGCTGGAATTAGGAGGGGGAAAAGTCAGTTCAAGCCCACAGATTAATACTTTTGTGTTGACTATGGGCATAGCAGATTATTAGTTTTTTAAATAACTGGGTTAAGAAACCTAGTATGTTAATGTGTAAAAAATTAAATTAGTGATTTCAACTGAAAATGTTACTAAACTGCTGGTTTAGGTTTATGACTTTAAATTGAAAAAGGGATTTTGAATTTTATAAAATCCATCAATACCAAATGTAGAAGAATTATTTGGAAAGAGTTGTCTGATAATTTAAGCACTTTTAAAAAATGAATGCTCAATGTATAAATGTAATCTAAAGGGATTTTACACTATAAAAAATTAAAATCTCTAAAATGACTATAAAATAGGTTTGTATAGAGCTGAATTTTAAATTCTTAGTTGTTTATAGTGTTAAAAAAATCGGGCTGGGAATATAGCTCAGTAGCATAAGTCCCTGCCTGGCAAGCATGAGGTCATGAGGTTGATTCCCAGTACGCCCCCCCCCGCAAAAAAATCTAACATTCACTATTAAAAAGAAAGTGCCTTGAATAATCCTGAGCAAAATGGCCACCCTCAAATATGCGTGCACATAGTTGGTGTTTGCGCACGCGCGCGCACACACACACACACACACACACAGTCTGATACCACATATAACCATATACACCAGTTAGAAAATTTACAAAAATTCTGTGTGATGCTGATTTCCACCTTAGTAAGATATTAAGGGAGATTATATGCCTACTTCACCATGTTGTATATTACATTACCAATTTCATTTTCAAATATAAAATCAGCATTTTGTCCTAATTCACTATAGTCCATATTAAAGTAAAACTGATTGATTATATCAATTAAGTGGACAAAAAGAGAAAAACCCCAACATTAGTCAGTGTTAGACAAACTGAATAAAAATGTTAATTGCCCCTAAATGGGAAAATACTTAACAATGAATGTTCTATAGTATTTGCCTCTACAACAAAATAGTCAAAGATTATGAATGCTTAAAGCAGAGCTAAATAAACTTGCTCTCCCTACTATTACATTGCTGAGAATGGTGGGTAACTGAGTACCAACAAACACATTTGAAATGTGAAGACTTACATATGAAATATAAAATTTCTTTTTCAAAAACATGAACATTCAAAAGACTAAAAATATTTTTTTCAAAATGAAAATATGGGGCTGGGGATTTAGCTCAGCGGCACAGCGCCTGGCTGGCAAGCGTGAGGTCATGAGTTCAATTCCAGGTACAGGAAAAAAAACAAAAAAGAAAAAAAAAAAAAGAAAATATAAGTGAACATTACATAATGGAAACCAGTATCAGATAAACACTTGTTTTTCCACTCAGATTACAGAAGTTTCCCATTTATTTTATGAGGTATGGCTCAGAGCCATAAACTCTGTGCATGGTTACCCCCACCAAGGTTTCCAGGCAACAAGGAGGTGTACTTAACAGTTTCATTCTTTCCAAAGTGGGTAAAAAATTGCACAGACACACTGTTGCGTGACTCTGCTTAAACTTGTTCTCTATTTCACTTGCATTACTACCTTGGCTTCTCAGCTGATTTCAGGGGAGGCGACAACAATATAGCATCAGATCATAAAGGTCACTGACCTTCCCAGTAGCTCTGAGTCACTAATATTATAAAAAAAAGTGTAAATGGTCTGCCTTACAGGGCTGCAGGGATTCCCTAAAATGAAACATCAAAAAAACTAAAAAGTAGTTAGAACTCACCTATTTTTCAGCTTTACAGGTAACATACCAAAATAGAAAAGCACATGAGATTTACTATTTGATTTGTATTTTCTTAAGTGAAATATAAAGACTACATTTTCAAACAAAGATTTTTCAGAGATACTCAGAACTAATTACTAACAAGCAGCAAATCATGGGAAAGCAGGTTCTCCGAAATAAAATATACAAGATAAATAATTTACAAGCTAACTGCCCGTTTATGTATACAAATATATTTTTGTTTCATTTATCCATCTAGTTTAAATTAAAACCTCTATTTTGAAGTTTTCTGGCAGGTAGCTATTGACTTAGCAATCAATATCGCTTGTTCCACAGCAATCATTTGTTAAGTGTAAGTATTTCCAAAAGGACTGTTTTCACCTTAAACTGTATTATTTTATCAGGAATATTATCTTCAAATTAACGCTGAGGCAACGCAGCACTCTAATAGTCCCTGGGTAATAAAAGCTGATCTGTTTTATCATGACATAAAAGTGTACCTACTGGTCTAAATTGCTCATACAGAAAGGCTGGCTTTCCTCTTTTCCTAGGGTACCAGCAAGAGTGGACCGCAGAGACGGAAGGTGGCAGAGCAGCTGGTGTAAATGCTGATGGACAAACAAGGCCCTCACTAAATAACTATAAGGTCACAGCACTGGAAGCACAAAGACCTCCAGCACCACCACCACAGGCCTGGAGTAGTTCTCCTTACACAGCTCACGTATCAGAAGATCATAAAATTTAAAGAGTAATAAAGTTAAAGCAGAAAAGCTCAGTATTTTTAAACTCTGTTTTGCTATAATTAGCGTCTTGATTTTTGAGATTCACTTACTGTGTAGCAATACTCAGATATTCAAACCAGTCAGTCAGAGTCAGTGATGTGTAATCACTGTTAACAGACGAACGCTGTTGAAGATTAACAGAACAGAGGCACATCACTTAAAATTGAAAGCAAGGTTCTAAAAACCAAATTTTTTAAACAAATCTCTTAAAATACCGTCTTTAACGCAAGACGTTGTCCATGCTTGTTTTGGTTTGTCTATGCTTTGTTCCCGTCACTGCAGCTCCCTCATTATTTAAGGCAGGCGGTGCTTACTAACCTTCCGGCACCACCGAGCTAACAGGCACTCAGGAAGCATGCCAGCTACGTGTATTTTACGTACGTAACTGTCACATTTTAATTTCTTAAACTGGCAGACGGATTAAAGACTTTGATTTCAATAGTAAAACTTTAATAAAATCTCAGAAGAAATGCAAAAGATGTCTTTATGACCTTAGAAAATGAACAATTTCTTAAGCACGACTCTCAAGTCACACTCTAAAAGGACTAATGAATTAAAATTAAGACCTTCTGTATTGAGATATAGCACAAATTAAGTGAAAAGACAAGCCACAAACCAAAAGATGCATTAAAACATGTATTATTATATGTTCCTGTGTATATGCATATGTACGTAAGATATATAAAGAATTCCTTCAAAACGACTAACAGGTAAACAAACCAATAAAAAAGCACAAAAGACATATCCTACGTAGAAAATGAAATATTAATGGTCAATAAAAACATGAAAAATGTTCAACTTCACCAATAATGAGGAAAATCTCTCAATAAAACCCTCAACACTCATCTGTATGGACAAAAATTAAGAAATTAATTTAAATTAATTAAAATCATTATAGCGAACCAAAACTCTAGAATATAAATTAATACGATACACAGCTCATGACCCAACAATTCCTTTTATAAGCATAAAATTGAGAACAAATCTAGTACACTAGGAGGCTTTAACAAAAAAGGGGAGGGCACCTCAACTGGACTATTGTAAGCTCTCAATGGATATAATATGGCAGTGAAAACTAGAGCTACCTACAGCAATACAGATAAACTGCACAAATACAACACACACCAACTGTAAACTTACACTTCAGTGTAAGATTTATAATTGGGAAAAAAGCTA